GTTCTGTCCCTCCCTAGACAACACCAAAGCCCCTGTGTCCCAGGCAGCCTGAGCTTTCCCTTTACACCAGGTGGGGACCTGGCACACGGGGTCTGCTCCCCACTGACACATCCAGAGCTCCTGGTTCGTTTTGGTGATGTCGTCCTGGGACTCTCTTTCCCACCGGATGTCCCCAATGGTGTTGACTCACCTGTCATCAGCCACTGTGGCCAGGTAGAGGCCCTCAGGGGAGAAGCAGACAGAGCGCAGGGAGCTGGTGTGGACTTCGCTGCTGTAGTCCAGCGCTGAGTGCAAGGGGACGTGGCTGTGGGTGGGGAGCACAAGCCCAGCGTCAGCCCCAGGCTGCCATCAGCCCCATCCCCAGTGCTCCGGGGCTGGCAGAGGGGCCAAACCCAACAAGCCAGGTCCCCCTTTCAGCTTCTAGGGACAGGGGAGAGGTGATGGCCATGCCCAACTAGAAGGGAAGGCCACGCTCAGCCTCAACAATCCCCCATGGCATTGTTCTGTGTCCCCCTCCCACAGTGCCCCACCAGCCCCCCGGCTCCGTACCGCAGCGTCCTCAGCTGCTCCCCGGTGTAGGGGTCCCACATGATGACACAGGCGTCGTAGGAGGCGGTGACAAGGAGTGCTGAGTCTGGGGAGAAGTCACACGACACCACACTGCTCTGGTGCCCTTCCAGCCTCCGGATGAGGGTGTAGGATCGCATGCTCCACAGCAGCACCTGCGGCACACGGACAGGATTCCTCAGCAGGGGCTGAGCCTGGGAGCATCTCCAGGGCAGGAGCAGAGGAGAAGCATCTTGAGGGTTTAACCCATGTCCCAGCTCCTCCAGGCAGAGCCCAGATGGCTGAGGAGCGATGGTGGCTCTGCCCTGGCCCTGTCTCACAGAGGGGCTTCGTGTATTGGGGGACACGGAGGGTCGAGGGGAGCTCTGGATTCAACAGGACACAGATGGCTCCCACCCAGAGGGACTCACCGACTTCTCTCCAGCCGCGGAGCAGAGCATGCTGCAGTCTGGGGAGATGGAGCAGCAGTAGACCCACTGCACATGGCCCGTCAGCACCTGGACCTGCCGCCCTGGGGACAGCAGACACGCGAGTCACAAGAGGGGAGCAGGAGAGGACACGTTGCAGCCCTGCCCCTGCTCTCCCCTCCCTTTCCCGAGGGGGAATGCACAGCTGGGGGCTGGGGGCTTCCCCTGGGCACACCCTGAGCTCTGTTTCTTTGCGAGCCCCTCCTGCGCTTCCCAGGCCCCATCTGGAAGGGGATGGCTCTGCTCCGTGCCCAGGCCCCATCTGGAAGGGGATGGGTCTGCTCCGTGTCACAGGACTCACCCCTTCTTCCTCCAACACTGTCCCCAAAGATCCTCTCCCACCATCTCTCCTACCAAGGTGGGTTCTCCCCGCTCTTTCCCACAGCAGAGCCCGGAGGTGACCTCACACCAAGGACGTCCCCATGAGCTCCTACCATCTCTGCTTAGGTCCCAGACACGCAAGGTCTTGTCCCGTGAGGCAGACACCAGGATAAAGCTTCCATTGGGAGCGAAGCTCAGGTCTCTGACGACATCCTGGTGCCCCAAGAGGCTGAAGAGGAGGTGTCCTGCGGAGAGGGGACATGCTGAGTGCTGTCCAACCATAGGGAACGAAGCAGTGACCCTCCCGCACACGCAGCCCAGCCTGGGACAGGGAAGGGGCGGCCACTCACCCTGGGTATGTATTTGGGGAAGGATGGAGACGGGATCTCCTCCCCAGAGTGAGGAAGAGGAGATAAACCAGCCTGCAGCCGTGACTGCTCCTGCTGTCAGCAATGGCCACTCACCTGTCTGCACCTCCCAGACCTTGATCTGCCCATCGTTGAGGCCGGTGGCCAGGACCAGGCAGGGCAGACCCACAGCACAGGTGGGCTCAGTGCCCCC